GCCTCCGCGAAGTTGAAGTACCATGTGGATGGTCGAGCCGGGCTTACATTATAATCGGATAACTTGCAATCATCACTCATCTGTTTTCCAGAGTATATTAACCTTATCTGTTCCACCTGCCAAAATGGTACTCATCTGGACCTATTTTGTATCTTACACGCTCAACCTCAAGATACCCTTCACTACCTGGATTCCTTCTCTCTCTTGTAAGGCTTCCTTCACATGCCTCACTGTATTGTCCGGCTCGAAGTTGAAGTTACTTTTCCGTCCAGTCAGCGTCTTTATGAAAATTTGCATTATCACGGCAAAATACAATCACTACAGTTGACCGAATTATGTTCACAAAATACGATCGGAGAAACTTACAAATACGTATCGCTTCGCTCCGCTGTAGTGCAAATGTAGCGATCGCTTCTCGGCGAGACCACAGTGACCCAAAAGTTACATGGCAATCCTATCCTTCTATTCATTGACACATGGGTCCCGCACCGCTCTCGACGACACGATCACATCCTTACCGTCATGGTTGGTTTCGGATTGGAATCTAACGGGAAGGGGTTTAAAAGCTATCCCTTGTATGCCCGGCGATTGGAAGACGACGAAAGGGAACGAGCGGATGTTCTTTTCGGGTTCATCTATGATGAAGTTATCGTACCGAAGCTTTTGCAGAGTAAGTCTGAGGAGCCTTCGTTGAGGCCCTCAACTTGAGGGGGAGAGTCACAAAAGTTTCTTTCAGATGATCTGTGTCCGAGTGCAATAGTGTCGGATTCTGCGAGTCCCATGCTTTCCGCAGTAAAGCAGGCCATAGACAAGCTCAATAGCTTACGTCCAGCACAAGCGGTGGACTTTTTGCCTCCCTGCGGCTTCCCAACCACCCTGGCACAGCCATGCTTCTCTCATATGAATGCTAATCTATGCAAGCAAATATTCCAGGGCGACGAGTACCAGGATCTACTACGCTTCGCGACAGCCGCCAAGCAACTTACATCGTCAATGTGTTTCATCTCTCGACGCTATACGGGTTCTGTGATTGTCGCTATTTTGGATATCCGATGGACGTCCATATTGAAAAGTTTGGCAAGCCTGAGGGCAAATTGGAAAGAACTGCAGGATTTCTGCGCGATTATTCGAGAGCCGGAGAACTTTGCTAGGTAGGGGCGACTCTTCAGCAAGCACCTCGCGGCGAGGTCCTCGCCTTGTATTAAGTTAACGCGGTTAACTAGCTCGGACCGTTTTTTGGCCCTTGATCACCCCTTTCAGTTTACCCGGATCACTAAAAGAAGCATTCGACATCGTTAACACAGCGCTGCAGTCGTCGTCAGCAAAGAAGCTGCTGAAGCGTACCCTTAACGTTCTCAAGCCCATTGGTGTCCTCAATGAGCAACTGCAGGAAGCCGGAATATCCATAATGAGGGGATTGCGTCTGATGTACCTTTTGTATGAGGACCTTCAAGTTCATCCGTCACTTAGCGTCGGTGCTCGTGATCGTGTGCGACAGAGGTAAGTGAGCCATCAGTACTGGAGACAACCATTTGACTTGACGCTCGGCCCGCCTGTGATTCTAGGCTAGAAAAGGTCGATGCTGGGCGGGGCTGGCTGAGGTACATGTCGGTTGAAGATTGGCGAGACAATCGGAGCTGGCAATCGGATATGATTGAGCGTGTTATGCGAGAAGTAGAGCCATTCCAGGCTTCACACAACGATTGGCTTCTCTTATTTCTTCCATGGGACAGGTAATGATGATGATTGACCACGCTTTTCGTCCTAGCTAGGTCGATGGTGGACTGTGTCAGGCAAGTTTGCATCAATACCTCGTACCCTGTTGGACTACCAATACTGGAAACATGTTAGCCAGCACTCCAGTTTCTGCCGGTTTGTGTTCTTGGCTTCCTCTGTCCCATGCTCGAACGCGAACATCGAGCGACTGATCAGCCACGGCAGGTTCTTGAGCCAGTGAGTTCCGCTCAGACTTGGTGTCACAGTGATTTCCGCCGGTGTATTACTGAGTATCCGGACTCTTGTCTGCCTAGGCCAAACATGGGTAGCGAAAGATGATCAGACGCATGACCATCCGGTGGGCCGTTGGGAACGAAATAAGAGCCGAGGTAGAACCTAACCACAGTGTAGGCTGTTTTTTCTCTCTGAATCTCAGCTATTGTCGTCAAAGCCAGCTAAGCGCATGCGCCCAGGTGGCGGAAATGAGCGGGCAGAACTGTCCGATGAGCTATCTGATGACCTCAGTTCGAGCGAGTGTTCAAGCGCAGACTGGTCGGACCATCTCAATCGGCTTCCAATCCCACTGCAGCCCGGTACTTCGTCATCTTCTCGTCTGCACAGACAGATTCTTGCCGAGTCTCCTGTTCGAGCAGTCACAAGCTCAGAGCCCAGCAGTGGTCGCTCCGAGGGCATCGATCAAGGCCGTCGGTTTCTTCTTCCTTCCGAAATAACCTACGATTACCTGATGAGTAAAGGTGACTTTGGTGTACCATGCTACCATAATAGTCCCGCAGATGATGGTCCGGGCATGCGCCGAGATGAGGCACGAGTGATGTTGGATATTGGTCATCGGGCCAATAGGACTCGCAGTGGGCAACTCAATTCTGAGACTAACGAGCGTCCACAGAGAACAGCAACCCTATTTTTCTTTCCTTTCTATGATAAGCTCAAAGTGAGGGGAGAACCACATACCATAGCTGATCTAAAGCGGAAGGTCCAGTCTGGCGAGTTCGAATTCCCCGCTCCATATCATTAACAATATTAGTTCAAGATTTCGGAGCTTACACCGTCGCTACAGAGGATCCTTCTAGCCTACGATTCAGAACGATACGATAAGGACTCCAATCGATATTGCAACTTTAATGTTGGTTTCTCATGAACCGTTGAGGGCTAGTTACTGAGTTATCCAATATACCATTCCAGGGGCTGTGAAAATCTATGCTCTCAGCGGTATTTCTCGGTTTAGTCATGGGTCGTCATCGCAAAGGCCTCAATCCTTATGAATACATCTTGACTGTTACCAAGCCAGCATCTGGCCAAGGAGAAAGAGACAACAAGAAGCAATATTGGATGTGTATTATGTGTGAAAAGAAGTGGGAGTTTAAAAACACCACCCGTTTCGCCAATCACGTTCGCGACCACATGTCGGATAGTCCAGAGCTTGAAACCAGGCTGCGTGAGAGTGTTCAGGCTCGTCAATCCCGTCCTAATCTTGCTACCGGACTCTCGTCAAGCAAATCTGCAGTCGCTGCCAATCACCGAGATGCTGCCCTGGGCTCGACCTCAAGTTCAACGGGTGTACAACGTCCTGAAACGCCAAAGGTTAGCAAGCGGAGCTCTTGCAGTCTATCTACACCATTGACTGGCGAAAAAGTATCACCGCTAACGAAGAAAAACAGAGGCGATGATGAGGAGCCAGGTTGAAAGATGAAGAACGCTGTGAAATTTCCCACAACGCTTGATCGGTTCTTCACAAGTCTGCCAGATAAGAGCGTGGTTGACCGATTCAAGAAGGCGTTCATCAGTTGTTTGCTATCTTGTGGGGTAGAACCTTCACGCCTCTAAAACCATCGTGGGATACTTCCTACAACAGGGTAAGACCGACAAAAGCATAGGTTCCTTGTGACGCAAGAATTTGATTATAAAACGCTCAGCTCCCTTCGGCTCGGTCGACAATCACGTGTCAAGTTTCATGGCTCCAGCCAGCTATTGGTATCTACACAAGGATACCGACGAGCTCTCTAAGCTCATTTACTCCACCTGTCTCACCCCTTGTTCGCTGAAGGCACACGAGAAGATCTACAGTGAGCTCGCTGAGTAAGGGTGTGCGATATATCTCAAACAAGCCCTCACTATTCTCAGACTACCACCAAGCCGCATATATTGTACCGCGCTCACGAGGTGGAGGCTGAAGGCTTCAGCCTGAACACATCCAATTAGGACCGTTAAAGCAGCCCGAGATGATGATCGGAAAGAAGTCCTGTCGGGTTTATCCACAGTCATTTACTGTATTGTACAATGTACAATGTACATCTCGGCTGGCCTCCGGCAACCACATAGAGGCTGCTTACCACAATGCCAATTTTTCTGCAGTAACGTCTCATTAAACCCTCACGAGTCGTGTTGTTAAGTTGGGCTCAACACGATATAGAATCAAAGGATGATTGGTTTGTGGCTCACACCTTCCCTGGACTCTAGAGCGTAGTGTGACGAAGGATGGAAAACTGGCGGAGCTGCGGATCGAACCCACGGCCTCGCCCGAAAATTCCGGAAATTTCCATCGTTACTATTTTTCCCGAAATTTCGGGAAATTTCCGCTTGAAAGAAATTTTTTCTTTCCGGCCGGACAACCCTGGCTTCGCTCCGCTAGGCAGTTTGATATTGACTTGTTGCGCGAGCCATCAGCCCACGTGCGCCCAGCGCATGAACCAAAACGACTATTCTGAAACGGCTACTATTGCCTAGGCTAGTCAAGGCCGCAAATGCGCTAGTCTCGAATCCATTTTTCTCGAACGTTATGAATATTACAGAAGGAATAGACGGCCCGCCGAATCACTGTTTTGATGCCCCCGAGGAACAACCGCTACGTATTCGCGGGGCGAGCGAGCATGCTCCGTCATTTCCACATTTTCTGTGCTTTCGTTTCATGATAATCTGTATACAAGTACAACCGTTGATAGATACCTACTGATTGGGTACGACTATGTCTCCCTCTTATGTTAGTCCGTAATACCGACTCGGTATTGTCCCTGTAATGATTATAGTGTAATCTCGTCTATTGTCTATCGTATAGTCAATCTTCTTTACCAGAGTTTTGATGGATACCCCGCTTGCGCATGCGTGCAAATTTGCACAGGGTGCAAGGCCCGTGTGTAGGCGTGCTACGGGGAATCTCGGTATAACTCATTAAATCCTTGTCCAATATATCCGATCATAAGTCAAGCATGCAGTCAGAGGAGGCACCCGGGAGCGAGTCCCAATCACTACTTCACCCTTCATTGTATATTCACCAGAACTGTTGTGAGCTGTCGCTCGCGTGACGCGAGCGCAGCCGCGTCTACAATCTGTCTACAATCTGGGGCGGGCGGGCAGGTCAGTCTGTACTGCTACCAGATGGATAGAGCGGAGGAGGTTGCTGCAGAATGCTTTTACGTGATAACTGAAATTCAACATAGTTCGCTCCTTGTTGCGTTAGTGCGGCACGAATCGTGCCATACAAGTGAACACAACAAACCGCACAAATACGCGTGCAAACAGATCCGCCGTGACGGCGTCACGATTGCCCACAAATCCATACTAGGGACCCCCATTCGTCTATCGTGTTAGATGACTCTATCAAGTCACGAATCCCGGAACACTGATATTTGCCCAAGACCCTTGGGCCAAGGGGAGCGTGCAACGGGATAATCTGCTCAGAACAGTCTAATTTTGTGTCGAACAATATGTGATGACAAATAGCCGTTGTGACGATCATGTGGAACACGATAGCATCCAATGGATGCCATCCATTGTGGCTGTTTCAGCATACATCTCCTAGATGCTAGCCAGCTCTCCTATTATCGTCCTCCTCCTCGTCTCCCTTCCATCTTATGCTAGAAGGATGGTGTCTATCAGCAGTCAAGAGTGGCTCGCTCCCACCGACACCATTTGTGAAATGTTCTCCATGGGGGTCAGTAAATTCTTTCTCGAGAGTACCACATTGCTCAACGATGGTTCTGTTTTCTCGGAGGTCAGCAACATCACAATGGTCAACGAAATTGCTGATTGTGCCAGGAAATACGGCACTGGTACAGCCCTTTTGTTGTTCTCAGACAGCTACCCTTATGATGAATGCTCCCCCGATACATTCAGTTTTGCTACTTTCGAATCTCAGATTCAGTCTTATATCACTCAGTATAATGTAGAGGAGGTGAGGTTCTGGGTTTGGGTAGGAAACTGTCAACAGTTCTTCTGGCAAATCGCGCAAAGAGTTGGGTGGATCATAAGCCGTAAGCTCAAGACCAGGTCTGGGAAGCCTGTCAGAGCGTCGATCGGGTGAGTAAAATCGCCCATCGTTTCTGCTCTCAGAATAGCCGTTCTGAGTGTGCTAGTGTAGAGGCAACGGCTGGCCCATAAGGTTGTCCATGACGCAGTATAGTTTGTCCTCAGTTTCGGGGCAGAGCCCTTGGACTCACCCCTGTGGGAGTACGTAGAATCAGCCAGGCTGGAACGCTTGTTCGATACCGTTTCGATTCACTTCGGGCACCCGACACTTTTTTCGGATAACATGGTTAATGCGGATTTCGCTCGCCAAGCCGTTCAGCGTCTGCTTACGCTCAGGGTACCAGCATCAAAAATCGAACTATCAGTAAGCCATGGACTCCTTTAGGCGAGGAATTCCCGCCGGGAATCGCCCGTTGCTGATACTGATTTGATAGGGATGTCCGCATTCAACTACTATGTTATATTTCAGGTAGAGGCTCTGGGGTTTTCACCAGGCGCACATCAACCTCCTCGAACTTATGCTAAACTGGTTGCTAGCGGCGCACTTCCTTTCTCGAACGGCCATTTCGAAGACTATGTCTATCAGTCACAGAAGCAAGTCCTTGAGAAGACCCGCCTCGTTAAAGATAGAGGCCTGTATGGATTCTCCATTTCCACCGTTCTCTCTGACCTGCCCGCTAAGAACCGTTCTTCTCTACTCAATGCCGCACTATACTATTGAATATGAAGGAATTGATATTTTTTTCGCATTTTTATATCAACTTTATTGCGGATGATTCGCAGTGTCGTATCTGAGGTGAGGCTCTCGATGAGATATGATACATTATCCAGTTGAGGTGTTCGTAGTCTATTATAGATTATCTATATGTCTGTTTATTTTTAGAAACTCTAGAAAGTTTCCCGGCAGTTTTCTATCTTTAGTCTAGAATCGATATTCATGATCACCCTTGCCTTTCGAGTTCAGTCGAGAACTGCGAAAACAGCTCTTGAGAATACAGCCACTGGGAGGCTTCAACGGCACACGACAAAAATTAAGCGGCAGGATAAATTCGCGGCGAGAAAGGCGGCGGAAAGAGGGAAATCAACTGAAAGCCTCGATCTCCAAGCCTTTTCAAGTTTCAATGTCTGATTTGAGCATCGATCCATTGCAATGTCGATGTCCGCATACGGCCCGCAACGCCATCACGACATTAGAGAAGATTGGGGGTAGTAGAGTCTACTACCCCTTCATCGACTACTCTGAGTAGACAGCGGTAGGAATAGGCTTTGCTCAGCTGAGTCTGAGAGTCTCCTCACTAATTGTAGAAGTTTACATACAAATTCGGATAGACGTATACAGAAAACAATAAGAAATTGTCTTAACTTCAGAATCTCAGAATTTCTATCTTGTCGCCAGCACATGTGGTTGACCATGTGCATATTTTCCCACTCTGTCTGTGTTGGAACATATGATCGCTTTCCTCGACTGAGTTCAAAAAATTCACTCACTAATTATATAAGTTTGTGTACAAATTCGGGTAGGAGTGTACAGAAACCATTGAGAATTTCCCGCAACCACCTCAGAATTTTCATATTGGGCCTGTTTCACAAGGATACTTAATGTAAGGCGCCTCGGATTCAGGAGTTATTCAAGATATACTTCAGGCGTTACTTAAGTTTAAGGCGCAATTTGCCCCTATGAAACAGGCCCACTGTCACAAACAAATGTAGTTGACCATGTGCAAGTTTTCTCACATTGCCTTCTTCACCCCGATTCTAGATTGACGTTGTTTATTGTTGTAGCTACCAACACTGTTATCCTGTGGCGAGAGGTCGTCCTGAGAGAAATTAAGGCATAGATCGGACAACGCGAGCTCCCACTCACCAGACGCGCGCACGGTGTCGATTGCCTTGGGCACATTGAAGCACCTACTATGGTCACATTCCTAGAACAAAACTCAACGTTGGCGTGTCGGACGGATTGTGTACAAGCATATGAGCATTATAGCGGCATGAACCACCAGCGCTACTCCAAGAAAGAGAGATAAAAGTTGACGTATGGTAGTTACTTGAAGGTGATCCCAATGGTAGAAATCGTCCTCAAATTCCACTACCGAGGACAGAAAAGCAGACGTCTGGCGTCTGATACCCCGCAAACATATACCACGCTAACGGATATTGTCGTAGATCAATGGCCGGAACTAGCTGTCGAAACTAATATCGGCCTCACGTATGTCGATGATGTTGGCGATAAGTGCCTCTTCCATAGGGATGCTTGGGAGGACTCTGTGGAGCTTGCTCGCAGAGCTGTCTTAGGGACTATGAAGTCACCAACTATCAACATATTCATCACTACGGAAACATCTAGCACAACGGCAATCTCTGGTGGGTCGCCCATCGACTTGTCTGTAACTCGCAAGAGACCTCTCGAGTCCACCGCCAGCCAGACGGCACCTCCCATAGTAGCCAAGGCGAAGAGGGTAGCTGCCAAGTCAGCAGCAGGAGCAACAGCAGTGAATGACAGGGCCAAAGTTGAGCGAAGTGCAGGGAGCAGAGCTAAGATGACGAACAGGAAGTCCACTTCAAGTGAGGCCGAAATCGTCGTGGTGAAGGATGAGTTTCCTGCGGAAACGAGGACTCGTCGGAGCTCTCGACTTGCTGCTCAACGTGGACCTTCAGCAATCAAGAAAGAAGGCATTGAAATGTTTGAATAGGAGTACGCAGAGTTTCTGGTCGCATTCTTGCGAGTTGAGTTCACCAGTCTTGTGCTATGCTTTTGCCTGATGGCTTCAGCAACCACCTTCCTCGCCTCTCCTGCATCCAGATCGAATACAAGTTGCTTTCGGGTATGGTTGACTGAGTGAACTTAACTCCTGCGTAATTCTTAGCACAAGTCCTTTAATCCTCATCAACAGTCATAGTCTATGACTCACAGAGCTATGGAGATTATAGTATATTCCGACGCATTCGTGTTACGCTGTTCTATATCGTTAGTATGATACTTTCTCTTGCTTATACATCCTCTGCGGATCTGTTACACTATAAAGTCCACTTTCAGGGCAACTACTATGAAAATTGCTAACGCAGTCAGCGACCCCAGTCCTTTCTTGATCGAACTCCTCTAACCGATACTAAACGCAAGCCTCATTGAGCACCACTGACATTAAGACTTGGTACAGATGTCATGTTGAAGCCGGGGCCGACTTGAACTGATTAAATCACCTCGAAAGGCACTCAGGTGACCATTAACTATAGCGTGCAGGCTGCAAATGAAGTCAAACTATGTAGTCTTTGTAATCTTCCCCTAGTTGTTATGGTTAATTATGAGAGTGACCAGAAGCAACATTGCGGTACCACCGTGAGCGTCCCATCCGGCCAGCAGGTGCGTACATCAAACGACGCTGAGTATAAAGCATTCAGCATAATCATGATAGTAGCATTCGGACTCACCGTCCTGATCCTGTTGTTTGATCGTCCTCTGTGTGATGTCCGAGATGAGTCTATTGCGGAGCCTATAGTAGCTAGTGTGGAGTATAGCGCTAGAAATGCTAGTATGGCATGCATTGGTTCAACTTGTGAACTACTGAGAATGCCTTACTTGAGGTCCTAGTTTTCTAACTTCAAGTGAAAAAAATGTAGGTGAAGTTGCTTACCAAACGATTATATAGTGACGCCTTTATATCAGCTCACCCACACAACTTCGGAGAGTACCACGCTATCACCAGTTCGTGGGCAGGCTTATGTAGTCATTGTTCACCCAAGTCAAACACGACTAATTTCGAGCATCAAAAACTCAACTTGCGTCCTCAGGGCGAGCGCGATCGCAAACGTCCCCGATGAGGAATTTCAAGTCGTTACAAGATTGGCAATTCTCTAATCTTGCCGCGGTGTTCTCGTGCGTGGGAATCTATTGTACAGAAGCGATGAGTGCGTGCCTGTAATGCTCGTCTTTCTTCGAGGTGGTGTTACCTATAATAGACTTAGTCTACTCTCATCGTTGCTTGTACTCATCGACTTAACTTCAGAACTGTTCTGCGCGATATGATTCCACCTACATATAGATCGCTCTGTAGTTCCATAGGCGTATAGGGCGTCTTATGATTTCGTCTAAGGCGCTATCACATTCTCCTTGTAGGATGGTGAGTAGTGGAATCCAACAGGCCTTCTTTTCACATCATG